TTGATATGAGTACTGTGTAAGTTTAAGGTGTACAACATGATGACCTTACATATATTGAAAATCTGCATTTCTAGCAAAGGTCTGTGATGCCACCACGTGGGGATTACACTTTGGGTGGCCTGTGTGGGAGGGTCAGTAGTAGTTAACTTCTCACTGACTGGATATTTCCTTCGCATGGTGTTTACTTCGTTTTTGCTCTGTGCAGGTCTGCCTACTCCCTCCCAACCCTCTGTGTTCCTCATCTCCTGCCCTGCCCCACTACATCCCCCCGCCCACGGACACCTTGTTGGAACCCCAGGACCTGAAAGTGTAGGCTTCCTGTCAGAACTCCTCTCACTCCAGGCCTGCATTTCTATTTGCATGAAAGCAGAAGTGACCTAGAGGACATAGATGGACTCTGAGCTCACATTGGTGGATCAGTTGGATCCAGCCACTCGGGCAGAACTGGGCTGTTCAGGATTTCAGGCGGAGCCTGGTGGCTTCCTTCCAGTTTCCTTCTCCTTGTAGAATTCAAGGGTGTAGAATGTGGAGGCCCCCACCCCCCATCCCTTTGCATAGCAAGGGGCAGTGAGTGCTTGCAAACTCCTGCCCTGTGCAGTGAACTTTTTAGTCTGAGGTGGGAGCCCAGCCGTGCATCCTGCCAGAGAGGGGAAGGTGGAGGTGAAGGTGTAAGGAGAGAGCTCCTTTCCCTGCCCAGAAAAAGGCAGAAATGCGACGCCAGGTGCCGAGCAGTCTGGAAGGGCAGAAGTGACTCCAAATATGATTGTGGCAAGTCAGAGAAATGTGACTGAGGGAGTGCATCTGTTCTCCCAAGCCCTGTGCCAGGGTTGCAGATTTTGTCCAGAAGAAACTGAGCAGCATTTAGAAGCTGGATTCACTTTTCTCTACCACCGTGATCTTGGGGGCAGGTTGCTTAACCCCCCTGCACCTTAGTTTCCTCATCTGTACAGTGGGACCAGTGCTCCTCGGGTGTGGCTAGGAGGATTCAGTGAGATACTGCACTTAACGTGGCAGGTGATAGTCAAAACTCAGTAGCTGCCATCAACATCATTAGTTGTGTTAGTATTAATATTGCAGAGTCAGAGTTTTATAACAGAGAGCTTCAGGAAGTCTCAGTGGGAACGACAGAGGCTTTGTGTGCCAAGTGGCCCCTGAGGGATCTCACTACTTCCTGTCATCTTGAGGGGGTGAAAGGGGGTGGGGGGGATATTTTGGAGGCAGACCTCAGAAGGCAGCCCAATGGGAGGGCCCACATACCTGGTCTTAGCCGTCCCACCTCACGCGGCAGGGAGGATGCAGAACTGACCAGAGCAGCTTACGGTGCCCCGTTCAGCCCAGCCTGCTCGAGTATTCCATGGGACACTCCAAGGCCTCGTTCGACCAAAGTCCATGCCATTGAGGGGGTAATGGTGACTTGCCTGGCTTGCCACCCTGTGCAAGGCATAGATTGAGCCCATCGCCAGGAAACACATCAGCTTGCTGGAGCTCAGAACCACCATCACAGCTGTCAGCCTTCACAGCATATACGAGGCCGTCCTGGTTAGAGGAAATGGGTTTGCCCCGAGCTTTGCAGGCCAGGGAGAACGGGCATCGCCGTGGTGCGACATCTAGTCTGGTTCCTTTTGTCCCCGGCCTAGCTAAGACTGAGGGAAGAGTGTTTTCCTTTCTGACTTAGCCCATTCTAAGAGAGACGTCTTTGCTGCTTGTAAAGCTCCCTAGGAGCTAGACCACTTTAGTCGCTGAACTCCTCTTAACTCAGACTCTCTGAGCCTGTCCTGGGTTGGCCCGAACAGGCCAGCTAGACTGTTCACTAGGCAGTTCCAATCAGCAGGTCAACCATCCCAAGTATTTGTGGCCGTCTGTTAGGCTCAGCAGCATGGCTCTCCCGGGCCCGGTGTTGTAAAGTTCCCTATTATAGCATCCGCGGGCCTCTGCTGTCATCCTAGGCATCTAACTTACCCCCATCTGTCCTGCAGGCCTTTAGGACAGATTTTAGATTTCACTGAAGAATCCTTTGGGTTTTCAGAAGCTGAGAAGCTTTGTTTCTAGACCATCTTCCTTTTTATCTTTCATCTCCCCTTTGCTATCTCGTTGGACCTGGAGACAGGCTCCTTAATCTTTTCTTTCTGGCTTTACATAGCATTGTCCCTTATCTCCTCAGGGGCCAGGGGCTGGAGGCTGGCCTTCCCTGCCCCCTCATCCTCACAGATGGACCTCTGCCCTCTCCAGTCATCCTGCTTCCATTGGATCTGGGCAGAGCCTTTGTGGGAATGCAAACTCAGAAGTTCAGCATCCTCCCAGGGGGAGTCCCAAGACCCACCCCTCCAAATTCCCAGGCTGTGCTTCTCACATTGCCCTGCAGGAGTCACCTTCTAGGACACAGCCTCTCCTGACCTGGTCTTTTTTTTCCCCCTTTTTCCTTCTTCTTCTCTCCCCCCTCCCAGCCCCCTGAGGCAATGGTGATAGAGGTAAGGGGTATCTTGAATTTTCTTCGAAGAACTGTGCTGTACTTTTCCACTTGCTGAGTTCTATGAATCCCTCAGACCTGGTAGAACCCCAAACAGACAGGGTAGTGACTCTTGTTACTCAGCTTTAATTGCAAGGCATCCTCAATATTCAAATCCTTTCCATCCAAGATCAGAAGATGGAAGTTTCAGGGTCAAGTGTGTCGGGTTGGCGTTCTCCCACTCTGGTTCCCTGTGTGTACTGAGGAGATTACTTGGTGGACTTTTTAAATGAGGGGAGGGAACAAGTTCAAATGTTAATGAGAGTCTTAGTTATTATATTCTGGAAAGTTTAAATTCCAGAGATTCGTCTCTCTGATGTGTGGTTTTAATAATTATATATAGAACTATAATTCACTTTATTTATTTGGAGATTGTGGTAGTTTCTAGAAAATAACAATGGAGCTGTCCCTCTCCAGACTTTCTCCTATTACAGTTTGCTATGAGGGGCACCTGGGTGGCTCACTCGGTTAAGCGTCTTTGACTCAGCCAGTCATGATTTCAGGGTCCTGGGATCTGGCCCCTTGTCGGGCTCCCTGCTCAGCGAGGAGTCTGCTTCTCCCTCTCCTTCCGCCCCTCCCCCCACTCATGTTCTTTCTCTTTCTCACTCTCTCTCTCAAATAAATAAAATCTTTTAAAAAATTGTTTAAAATTTTCTGTGAATTAAGAAATGAATAATAACAGAGGGAAATCTGGCTTGTTTTTTGTGGGTTTTTTTTTTTTTTCTTCCACAGTGTTTCACTTCACCCTAGGCATCTTTAAGTTTGGGCGGGGATGATCTGAAAGGATGTTTTGTGCATTTCTAAAACCTCATGGAACTTTTAATAAGCTTGACTTGATTCATAGTTTAAAGAAAGGTGGGTTATATGTCAAATAAAAACAGGATTCTTATCCTGCTTAGCCCCAGGATGAGTTTCTGGGGTCCCTGAACTCTTGATGCTGAAGGGAAATGTTGGGGGTAGGTAGCATATGTGCATTTTCCTGTGGAACGGTCCATAATTCTTTTTTTTTTATTTTTTTTATTTTTTTTTTTAAGATTTATTTGAGAGAGAGAGAATGACAGAGAGCACGAGAGGGAAGAGGGTCAGAGGGAGAAGCAGACTCCCTGCTGAGCAGGAAGCCCGATGTGGGACTCGATCCCGGGACTCCAGGATCATGACCTGAGCCGAAGACAGCCGCTCAACCAACTGAGCCACCCAGGCGCCCAATTCTTTTTTTTTTTTAATCAGACCCTTAAGGAGGTTCTTGCCCCCACCAAACCGTTGAGAATTACTGGGGTAGTAACAAGGATTCTTCAAGGCTTACAGGGTCTCCATCCCTTCCAGGGGCTATCCCTATGAGTCACTCCTTGTTTCTTGGCTCAAAATCCAAAGAACCTTGCAAAAGGAGAAGGGGCAAAAGAGAAAAGATGCAGAATTGAGACAGTGAGGTGTAGAGTGTTCACATGTCAGAAATCTCCGTTGGTGGCACTTTCTCCCCCCAACTGACCAGTCCAGCAGGGGGTTTGCCTGCCCGAGGTGCTCCGGAACTGGGCGCCGACAAAGCGAGTAACATAACATTCAAGATGATAACTGGGCATGTGACCCGATTGAGCAGCTTTCCTCCAGACGCTCCGAAAGGGGATAAAAATGAGAAAATGGGCCAAGCCAAGTGTTTCTTGACAGGCTTTGTCTGTGTGGCGGTTTGATTTACGTCCTCCGGTCTCCCACTTGGGCACTCCTCAGTTCAGCTAGGGGGATGCCGTTTTCAGAAACAGAGAGAATGTGGCTGAACGCTGCAGCTCTGGGAAAGGCTGGGGAAGACTGCATTCCAGGACGGCCAGCTTTCTCCCAGGGCAGGCATTGGAGGCCCCTGGCCCCCCCAGAGCAGACTTGCTCCAACCCTTGGTGGGGGGCATGTGTCAATTGAGAAGTTTTCTGTATCCTCCCTACAGTAAAGGAGAAGATGCGTGCTTGGTCCTCTCTGAATGATCGTGGGCACTTCCCCCGTCACTCGGGAGAAGGTCTACTCAACTGTCCTTCACATTAAGGGACTGTTTGGTTCCATGTTGTTTACTCTCTCCAACTGTCTCCTTTCCCCTCCGTTGTTGATAGCACTTAGTGCTGTCTTCTTCTTGGCTGCCCTTGAAACCGGAAGTGCATCCACAGCGCTGGTAACGTGCCCTGAGATGCCCAGAGCTCCGCCTGGGGCCAGCGGTCCCAGCTGCTCTCATGCGGTGTGGCGCCCAATGCACCCGACACGTGGGGTGTGCTTCGGGGGGTTCCTGTCTGTCCGAGGCACACTGGACTCCGGTGGCCCTGGCTCACATGCTGATGAGCGGCTCTGGGAGGAATCTGCCTGGGAGCTGGAAGCTTGCTTATGCACGCAGGCGGGAATAGGAAACGTTCCGTTGTCCTTAACTTGTGACTCCCAGTGTTAAGTGGAGAAAAAGATACAGAGACGGGATCATTTCTGGTCTTGACTCCCCCTTCACGTCACCTTTTCTCATTTGCGCAGGTTGCTCCAACTCTGTGCTCCAGAGGTGGTAGCTTTGACGTGTGACCCTGCCCACGTCTGGGCTCCGGCCGCGCCAGTCCCTCAGTAAGGAGGGCCAGCTTGATAAGACGACGAAAACAGGTCAGTTAAACTTGATTGACTTTCCTGGAGTCATAGTAACTTGGAGTGTTGAGTCCTCCTTTCCCTTCCCCTCCCTTCCCCACATTCCCTCTGAGTTGCCCTTTCTCTTCCCCCTGATCCTCCTGAGGCTTTGATGCAAAACCACAGTGAAATTGTAGCCCTGAATTGCTAGCCCTTCCTGATCCAGCGGGTCTGAAGTGTGGGATGAGAAATCGCAAAGAGGGTCGAGTGTTGGTCTCACAGGAAGCAGTGTTTCAGACACCCCTGTTCCCTGCTCCCCCCCACCACCAGATTCAGACTGTTTGTTAAAAACTGGAACTCCAGGCAAGTCCACTTGGCCATGTCAATGAAGATGACGACTTCTTTTCTTATCCATGATTTGGGAACTTACCTGGGCTCCCAGTCCTCTCTGGTTCCAGTTGGAGCACACTGTATTAGAATGGGGCCAGTGATTTTTATTTTGTTTATTGTCATCATTTTATTGTTGTTGTTATTTGCTCTCCCCCAGTAGTGGGGCTGATGTGTAGGATGGTATCAGGGAGCAAAGGAAAGAATGAAGATACCAAGACTATTAATATCCATAAAGAAAAACATGCTTTGTAAATGGACCTTAAGCTGTGCAACTTCTCTTTCATCCCTGAGATCAAACCTCAAAGTTTTAGGTTTGTTAGTTTGGCTTATTGCCCCGGTATAGTCCAGCGTAGATAGAATTAACTAATACTGGCCAACAGGCCTCTGGTTAAATTAGTGCACAGATGTGCCTTAATGCTAAGGTGGATTTTTTTTTTTTTCCATAATCTGGAACAATGAGCTACCTTTTTTTTAAAGATTTTTTTAAAATTTATTTATTTGACAGAGACACAGCGAGAGAGGGAACACAAGCAGGGGGAGTGGGAGAGGGAGAAGCAGACTTCCCACAGAGCAGGGTGCCCAATTTGGGGTTCGATCCCAGGACCCCGTGATCATGACCTGAGCCAAAGCTAAGCGTCTAGCTTAACGACTGAGCCACCCAGGCGCCCCAACAGTGAGCTACCTTATTTTACACCAGGTCCTTTCCCTTCTTCCCTGTTCCATCCTCCCAAAGGGAGAAAGAACTCAAGTATAAGATGGAAGAGCAAACAGGAGTAAAAACCTTTAGCTCCTTGTGGCTGGAGGGTTGCTCCTAAAACAGCTTTTCAGGGATGTGTCTAATAACTGTGCTCTTCTTTTCAGTGTAGCTGGCGGGTTCTTTTTGCTAACTGCACTTTCTGATCAGAGATGAAAAGTCTCTATTAAAAAAATATATTGCTACTTACATGTAAACTAGGTAAAGGAAGTAAATGTCGATGATCTTGGTAGTGTCATGCTTTACACTTCCATCCCCAAGAAGGAAGTAAATGTAGCAAATGTTTTCCTATCCAGACAAAATGGGAAACAACAAGTTTGCATGGCTTTTCTTCTTTTCCAACTGGGATAAGCCTTTGCAACGTTCAGCCCTTATGTTGTTTAGTACCATGACTATGGTTAGGTACTGTATATTGAAGACACTTGGGTGTTTGCAAGAATCTCTGATGTTATAATGACGGTAATGAAAGTTCTTACTAGTAATCTGGCTCTGTTACGTGAATATGTTTTTTGATTTTATATTTATAATTTTAATTTTCATGTTGACTCTGTCTTCGCTGTCGATTTTCTTCCCCAACTCAATGATAGAATTAGAATATAATTTTCACAACTTAGGATTTTACATTTAGTCCTAGAGGTATTTAACCTATTCCCAGATTTCAGTAAACTACCACATTTTTCTTTCCTAAGTGTAGTATTAGGACAAAAGCAAGATTATCTTCCAAACTCTTCCTGTAAACCACGAGAAAGGTTAACTTTCTTTTTACTGACATAACGTAATTACAATAAAGAATTATGGTTGGCTATTTTATAATTTGCTGTACATAAAAGTACGGAGGAAATACATTTGAAAGAACTAGTTGGTTTTAGGATTGAAGGTATCCATTTATTTGAGTCAAATAGATAATTATATGCTGATTGATTACAACAGTTCTAGGGAACTGATGATACTTTTAGAAATGCAGCAAGAAAGAAATCATGTGTGCGTGTGTGTATGCACGCTTACATGTATGGGCTTGTTTTTCCTAGACAGGAATCTCCCAGATTTTCAAAGACCGTTAAAAACAGGAAGTTTGAAGCACATTTTTTAATGGCCTCCTTGCATGGCGAAACGTCACAGGGCAGCAGTTTGGTTTTTTCTTTCATTTTGGATGTAGCTCTTCTCCCTTTGTGGGAAAGATATGTGGGGTACGGCTCAGTCAAGTTATCTTCAGTTGCATGTTTCTGCAGCTAGTCCTTTTACTTACCATTTGGAAACCCGTTACCACCCTATCTTCAAAATGTCTGTCCACAAGGAAGGCACATTTTGTCTCTTGGCTAGAAAAGTACTGTTCCTGAGACTCTCTTTGGCTCTTTTGGTAAGATTTTAGCTCGAGACTTCTCAGCTGATGGCAACATCACTTAATAAAGTTATATCCCCAGGTTCTTCCTGCTGTGCTGCTGGACACATTTGTAGCTGCTCTGGGTGTTACCATTTGTCATATCCTAGGTCACATCCCCTGAAGTTGGAGGAGGAAACCACAAGAAATCATGTTCTTTCTGGTGGTGTTTCTAAGCCTTCACTTGGCTGCTGAGATAAGGAGCCTGATCTTTGACTACAAGTCCAGTTGAGGCACGCTGTGGGATAACAGGATATGTGGCTTACAGGCAGGGCTCTGGCTCTGGAATATCTTCCCAGATCAAATGAGGGAAGTAGTTTAACCTGCAGACTTATTTCTGGCCATACCTATAGCCATGGTCAGGTATGGAACTAGAAAAGGCTGCATGTCCATGAGCCATGGTGTTCCATTTGGTCATTCTGTTCACGTCACCAAGTTTCTTTTTAGGTCTGACCTAATACCTTCTAGACTATGAGACTTCCGTGAGTTCCTTTCCTGCCTTATCTTCGGTCAGTTTTAGGTAGAGGCAGGAAGGGGGGGGTCAAGAGGGAGTCTGATTGCTTGTGGGGGCTTGGGTGTGGGGTATGAAGGAAAATTCAGTGTGGGTGAGCCCCAGAAAGTAAAATACCACAAAATCGTTTTGGCTGTTGGGAGTGAGGGTGACAGCCTGTAGGGAACATCAGTTAAAGGTTGAAAAAACAACCACAGAATGTGGTTTTGGAAGGATGACTTAAAATCGCCTCCCTTTTGTGTATTCTCCTGAATAGAGTGGCCTGAGATTATGACAAATACATGGTTTCAGTTTTTTCTTCCCGAAGTGAAAAGACATTCACTGAATCTTTTTGCCTTTGCTTCCCTTCCAGTGTCAACAAGTGATACGAAAGAAGAAAAAAAAAGAAGCGAACGCAGACTCCTTTCCTACTCCACGTGGATGATAGCTATAGCAGGGGAAAGTCTCATAGTGTATCAGTTGGGGCAGAAAATGGAGGTAATCGGCAGTCGGGGCTGGGTTCTTCTGTCCACTTTCTGGGGTATAGGTGCATTACCTACTTGTATATTTTAAGCAACAGTCTTTTTTATGTTGATTTGAAATTTGGTTATAAATCTGATAGGATTGGCTTTTCAGTTGTCTTCTACAGTTCGGGCTCCGGGCTCCCCTGTAAAATCACCGTATTGTAACCAATGGAGTTAAGTGAGACCTGATGATCCTCCTCATTAGTTAAGTCTGGAACATTCATGTAGTAGTAAATGAGTTAGGGTTATGAGGAGGGGGCTGGCCAAACGTCAGCGCCCCGGGCTTTCCTAATTGTTAGCTTAGCCTTTCCCCCTCTGCCTAATGAGAGAATAGGAAAAGCCAAGAGACCCGTGTCTGCTGGTTTCGGGGGTTGTGTCAGTGCATCCGCTCAGAAAGGAAGCGAGGTTATCAGTCTCTGGTATGACAACACCTCATTCACATGAAAGCTTAAGTCATTTTGGGCACGAGTGTCAGCTTGAACCAAAGAAGGAGGGTTTTAGGTGTTTTGACCTGACTCACGGTTATGGTAGCCATGGCCATCCATGCCCCCTGGCTCTGACAGACGCTAAACCTCACAGTGACCAACCGCAGCAATTTCCGATTTTCAGTTCTATGACAGAGGCTTCTTAGAAGCTTAAACCTTTGACCCAATGACGTCAAGTTCGCCCATTGGCTTGGAAGGTTCAGACTTGTCTTCCGTCAACACCATGATGTCAGCGGTAATGAGTGTAGGGAAGGTCGCCGAGAATGGCGGGAGCCCCCAGAGCACCAAGTCCCCCACGAAGCCTCCAGGACCAAATCGGATTGGCAGAAGGAACCAGGTAAGCTTTTGTGTACTAGCTGGTGACATCTGGTGGTTTCAGTCTCTGAGAACGGTGGGAGAAGGAGGTTCACTTGAGCCCCAGCTTCCTAAGCGAAAACCTTGGACGTGTTCAGAACTAAACACATACATACCGAGAGGCTTTGAGAGTGAACTTTTCAGGGCTTGTGTCAGTTTCCTTTCATGGAGAAAATTTTCTCCACTGTGGTGTCAATATTGGTGGAAGCATCCTTATTCTCTGCCCTGTAATTTGATTCGATTGCAAGCTTTCTTCATGTGATGGCCAAGACAAGGAACTTGACTTACTCCTCTACTGTGATGTGGTTCGTTTCTTTACACAACTGGTTAATTGGGTTTTCAAAGCCGTCTCTTCGATTTTTTTTTTTTTTTAACTGTCTTCAGATTAGGTAGCAAATAAGTACTAGTTTTCCTGGATCTCCCATTCCACTTTACATCCTTGACAAAGCACAGAATTTGGTTCCAGAAAATTCCCCTTGAGGTGTGATTTAGTCCTCTTGAATTTTTAGTGGGCATCGGAGCAGGAGGAGCGGGAAAGAGGAAGTGGGTGGGCCAGGATTGGAAGGACTAATTAATGTCTTAACAAAAGTCCGTGTTTCCTCCATTGGGAAGTAAGATGGATCTTTTGATTATCGTACCCTTGGGGCATGTGAAAAGTTGTCGCTCTTCTGTTAGCAACACATTCAGCGAAACTCAAGGAGTAAGGCAGAAGGTGAGTAGTTCTCATTTCTTCTCTGAATCTATGTAATCCCAACTGATGACTCCACATTGAATTTTTGGTTGAACTTACTTAATGGGTTTATACCAAATCCTCGGGGGAAGAGGCAGTTTTCCGAGTTAGTCTCCATTACCAGGGATGGACCAGAAAGTAAACCTGTTGGGCTTTTGTGAATTCATTTTCTATTTTGTTAATAATTCTCCAATGACTGTCCTTAGACAGAATTGTCTGAGCACCATCTGTGATGGTTTTCTATAAATTCTTAGAACATTAATCAAGGCTTTTGACACAACCTGTCCTCCAGGAAGTCATACCAGCCTAAAATTCCTCTGGCAGCGTAGGAGAAGGGTCCATTCGCTCACGTCTTCCTCACGGCTGATGACTTGGCAGGGTTCAGTGATGATGTAGGGTCGGAGCATTGATACCTTTTTCTCTCTTTTTTCCCTTGTCTCTGCCTGCCTCTCTTCCTATGGGTACCTGAGAAAATACTCAGCCTGTATGACTGTGGCCTGAGTCAAGAAGGAGTGCTAGCTCTGGGAAGAAAAGGTTTATTTCCACTCTCATGTGACTGTCCGTCCATCCATCTATCTGTCCATCTTTCCATCCACCCACCCATTTCACAATATATACTTCTGGCCAGGTACTGCTCCAGGTGCCAGGCATTTTGGGATGAACAAGATACGTAAGGTCACTGTCTCCTCATCCTTCCTGTGTTTGACCAAGAGAAAGTGGCGTGGGTAGTGACGAGCCCAGAGTTTCCCCGGCATAGGTTGGGTTGACCCAGGTCCAGGCTCTGGTCCCTTCCTGGTGGTTCAGAGACCGTGGGGAGAACCATAGAGCATGACCAGTAGCACCTCCTTCCCTGCATGGTAAATGGAGGGGACTCTGCGGGCAAATGGTGCAAGTGTACCTGAGCCTTTCTCATCTACTTCCCATGTCCTCCCGGGTTCCTTAGGGCACTGGCTTAGTGTTTGACAGGGAGGTCTGGGCCACAGGGACTGTAGGAAGACAGTGCATTAAAAACACCAGAGCACAGTTGGGGAGAGGGAATCCTTACCTGTGAGCGGACGGGGAAGGCTGAGAGCAGGAGCCTGGAGAGCAAAGTCCCATCAGCGCTAGCACTGAGTTCCAGGACAGATTAGCCACAGCAGGATGCCGACAAGGGTGCCAGATTGTTTCATTATGGAATGGTTAGTTATCACATTAGCTGCTAATTTTATCTGTCAGCTCAGGAAGTCTGCTCCTTCCACCGGCTCAGCTGCAAGAACTGGATTCACAGTTCTCCGGCAGGGCTGTTCTCTTTTCTCTTGGGCTGGTTTGCAAAAATTAAATCTGAGTCCAGAGATTTATTTCTCCCAGACTGTTGTGGATTCTGTAGATCTGCTTTAGGGTCTGCTGTGTGCCACTGCCAAGCCTCAGAGAAGGTTTGGGTTCCGGTTCGTGATAAACCCTGGACTCAGTGCCAGAGAGTCCAGGGAGCTACTCAGTATGTCTAGTATCTACCTTGAAGTGAACGCAAAATGGTTCTTTGTTGCTTTTTTGTTTTTTTAGGATTTTATTTGTTTATTTGAGATAGCATGACAGGGGAGCGGGGAGCGGCAGGGAGAGGGAGAAGCAGAAGACTCCCCACTGAGCAGGGAGCCCGATGCGGGGCTTGATCCCAGGACCCTGGGATCATGACCTGAGCCGAAGGCAGATGCTTAACCAACTGAGCCACCCAGGCATCCCTGCAAGATGGTTTTTTAAAATATCTGCTGCCTCAGGAGGCTGGCCACACCGATGCCTGGCTTTTTAACATTTACTGACATCTTACCAGTGAATTTTTCTTTAAAAAAATCTTTTTTAATATATATTATTACTAATCTAATAATTGAACAAAAATATCCCAGAGACTGAGTTTTGGCCCAGCTACGAGACCTCCCTCGTTATTATAGTGAGTGCTCTTATTTTTGTTGTGAATACTTCTGTTTCTGGTGTTTCTGTTTGGTGCTTCTTGGCCAGCTCCATTCTGATGGGAGTCGGATGGACCGAGGACGAGTGACTTCACGCCCCTCACGCCCCTGGGAGGACAGAAGGGCATGGGCGACTGGATGAGACTATGGTGGTGCTTTTCCACTGTCTCTGGGTTACTCAACTTCCTTAGACCTCATATCTGTCTTTTTTTTTTTTAATTTGAGAACGAAAAAACTTGTAGCATACCTCAGCCTCGGCCCCAGTGCCACCCGTGAGAAAAGCATTTGTAGCGCTTAAAATGAGGCCTGTTAGACTTCGCCAAGGAGGTGCCATCCTAGACATCCTCATGCATCCGCTCCACCCCGCCTGCCGCATGGTGCCATTTGTTTTTAGAGTCTTTGGGGTGACTTGTATTTTCATCATGTCTCACGAGCCAGCCACAAGGGTGTTTCCTGTCTATGCCTTGGGGTTCATCCTTTTTTTTTGTTCAGCCTTCCAGAGCATAGTGGCCTATATGGCATAGCTGGCCTGAGTTGGACTCCTGGGTCTGCTACTTAACGGTTCTCTCCTTTGGGACACGTTGCTTGCCTCTCTGTACCTGTTTCCTCATCCAGAAAATGGGATCTGTAATAGTGGTTGTGAAAAACCTGACATTTCCACGGGTCGAGTTGAGCACATAGTTAAGTGTTCAAGGATGGATTTTATTGGCAAAGAACAAAAACTCATTCAAATGAGTACAAGTAAAAAGAGGTCTGTTGAAGGAAGCCTAAGGCTCCAGCCTTAGAGATGGTGCCGTCCCCTCTCTCTGGCTCCCTGGTCTCGCACTTCGGTGAGGACTGATGTCCTCCCCAGCTGCATTCTCATGGCTTGGGCTTGCCACGGTGCTCAGCCCAGGCCTAGGGCTACAGGAACTTTCTTTCTTTCTTTTTTAAAGATTTTTTTTTAATTTATTCATTTGAGAGAGAGAGAGAGAGCGCCACAAGCAGGGGGAGGGGCAGAGGGAGAAGCAGGCTCCCCACTGAGCAGATAGCCTGACTCTGGGCTCCATCCCAGGACCCTAAGATCATCACCTGAGCCAAAGGTAGACGCTTAACCAACTGAACCTCCCAGGCGCCCCTTACATGAACTTCCAGTTCAAGTGTTCATGATCACCTAAGGTGGTAGCTTGTCACCCCCAAACCTGGGTACATATGAGCAACTCCTGGGGACCTTATGAAACAAGTTGATTTCTGGGGTACACCCCCCACCCCCAATTTGATTCAGCAGGTCATGAATCTGGTTTAGAATTCTAGTTCAGAAAAGCTTCCCGGGTGGTTCTGCTGATCAGTGGGAAACCCCCTGATCTCAGTCTCTAAGCATCTCAATTTCAGATTCCTGGGACAGGTGTCCAAGCCTTGATCCTGTTGGTTTTGGGGATGAGGACACACAGACTGTGGTGCTTAGGGACCGTGTGGGTGAGGAGGGCGACTCTTCATGAGTTATCTGGAAAGAGGAGCCATAGCATATGGCTAGTGATGAAGGAGTGCGTCCCTTTCCTTACAAAGGTAAAACTCTGTTGCTTGAAGGAAGCCTGTCCCATGTGTTTTGAGGGAACATAAAATGAGCCACCTCACTAAGTCATGAGCTGGTTCTTTTGTCACCCTCTGTGGAAGTCTTTATTTTGGGTTGTCATTCCCTGTCACGGTTTGGAAAAGGCCAGTATTCTTATTCTTACTACTTGTGAGTGGTGTCAGGCCGCTGCAGGCAGCAAGTAAGAGGGTCCCATTGATGCCTCTTGGCCGCACAGCTGGGCACTGAAGCCTTGCCTTGTTGGGTGGATGGGGTTTTGTTAGGAAAACTGTGCTTGGGGCACTCAAGACCAGGTAGAAAATCGTGACTGGAGCCGCCTAGATAGGGTTTGGGGAGAAATGTATTCCATTTCTAGCTCTGCTGTGATTTGAGCCTTGATTTTTTTTTTTTTTTTTTTTGTCCTCACTGATGATTAATGCAATAGTGTTTGATAAAAACACTAATATTTATTGAGTACTTGCCCTGTACCAGGCACTATTCCAGTGCTTTGTGTGTGTTAATTGATTGAATCCTCATCACAGTGCAATGTGGTAGATGCTGTTATTTTTCCCATTTGACACCTGAGGAAACAGGGCAGACAGGACCGTGACTTACCCAAGCTCGTACTCAGACAGGCTCTGGAGCCCATGTTCTCAGCTGACTTATTGCTCTGGCTCTTGAGACACAGGTGCTTACATCAGAAACAAGAGACACTGGCTTAACTGTGCGTTGAACTTGATTTTCCCTTGTATTATGTCTTTTCAGGAAATGAAAGAGGAGAAGTCTTCCTATAACTGTCCCCTGTGTGAAAAGATTTGCACTACACAGCACCAGCTAACCATGCACATCCGTCAGGTTTGCTGCCGATTTTCTCTTTCTGTTTGAAATCATTCTTCGTTAAGAGAGGGTAGTTTGATCTCACAGATGAATTGTGTCTGTTACTCCATTTAGATTTACTGTTTGAACCATCTTGAGGGGCAGTTATGAAATAAGTCTTGTGTGTCCACGTTACTCTGACCAGAATCCCAGGTCAACACAGAATACCTTTTCAGACTTCAGCCAACATCTCGCGAACTGACCACATACAACAGAAGACCTTTTGTCATATGTGACTTGTCAGTTTGAACCAAGTTTCTTCACAGTACAGTGAGATCGTAGATGGAGCCCCCTATCCCTTATATGGCTATAAACTTATATTATGCAGCAGAGAATTTGGGATTTCTTTGGGCTTCTATATTAGGACATTTATTCTCCTCTCTTGCCTGCTGTGTCGTCACAAGGTATAGTTGAATCTAGAACAATGAAGGATTGAATGTATGTATATATATATTTGGAGTGGGAATGGGTAATTTTTTAAAAATTTTTTTCTTTTCATCATTTCCTTAATCCCCATCCTCCATTCCCCCCATCTCCCGCCTACCTCCCCCTGATAACCATCAGTTTGTTCTCTGGAGTTAAGAGTCTATTTCTTGGTTTGTCTCTCTCTCTCTCTCTCTTTGTTCCCTTTGCTCATTTGTTTTGTTTCTTAAATTCCGCATATGAGTGAGAAGGATTGACGATATTAAAATCATAACATGGTACTGAGGACTACCATCATTTAGTAACTTGGGTTTGGATAGAAATGTTCCTTCTTTTAACATCTTCCAGAGGCCAGAACTCCACACTGTGCAGGTTTCAGTTCTCTTTCTCTGACAGCAGGACTGAGTCAGCGAACTAGAAGAATGGACGTGGCCTTAATGTGAAGACCATATTTCACGGTAGCTTCGTAGTCGAGGGTCCTTCTGCTCCTGTGAATATATGTGCTCAGTTAATCTCTGTGTTTCTCCAAGAAAGACCTGCAAAGGCTCCACCTCTCTCTGAGCCTTGCACACGTGTTTTTCAAAACTGGAACACGAAAGAGGAAGACGATCATACAAAATAGTTGTTTGCCCGTGTTCCTGACAGATTTTTGACATTTGGGAAGATACTTAAAATGCCAGAAGAAAATATCAGAGAAGCTATACTGTTTTCTTGTTTTGGTTTTGTTTGGGGTTTTGTTTTGTTTGTAAAAAGCTCTGACTTTGCATTTTATAATAGCTAAGTTTTAACCCATCCTCCTAAGTGACCCCTGTGATGATCGCTTTCCCTAGCATAACACGGACACTGGAGGGGCAGACCATTCGTGCAGCATCTGTGGGAAGTCGCTGAGTTCGGCCAGCTCCCTGGACCGCCACATGCTGGTGCACTCTGGCGAGAGGCCGTACAAATGTACCGTGTGCGGCCAGTCATTCACCACCAATGGGAACATGCACAGGTGGGTGAGGGCTGCCGTCTGGAGCTTGACAGAAAGCACAGTGGCCTCGAGGCCATCAGGGGACTTGCCTAAAGGCCTGAGAGCTCTTGGCATCTGTGCGCTCTTTGGAGGAGTCAGAGATGGTTTTGGTGGCTCCTGCATGCTCTCTGTGGTGTATTGGACATGTCTAGCCATGGGAAACAGAAATACCTGGGCGAGGTCTTTGGCCTTTGGGGATCTTCAGGGCGAAACACAGAGTCCTTCCCTCTCTGCCAGGTGGAGTTTCTTTGTTTGGGTGTCAGAGGTGGGCAGCTTATCAGATACAGAGGAAGCCTCAAGGAGTAGCGTAGTAACCCTTGCCTCTGAAAAACTATTTGCACATGCCTACCAGATTCCCTGCAGCCCTTCTCCTTGCAAAAAGTTTCTGGGGCCTTTGAATAAATAGTTAGGTGGCCTGGTCTTGGAACTTCAGGATAAGATAGGATAAAATGAAGAAAAAGAAGATCTGATAAATGCCAGGAATTTACTTCCTGAGGGAAAAAGAAGCTCACTCCAAAGTGCGAGAGAGAGCTCAGTGGTGGGCATATTAAAGTTTTGTGGGACAAACAAATAGAAAATATACTTTATAGAAAAATTACATAGGTTTTGCGGGGTTAGAACAAAAAGACTTTTTTTTTAATGCTCATTTTATTTTTTCCATGAACATTTTAAGAACGTTAGGACTCTAGGGAGGATTTTTAAAGGGACTCAAAAATTTTCACCTTGGAAAATCAGACTATTTTTCCTTTTTTTTTTTTTTTTTTAAAGATTTTATTTATTCATTTGAGACACAGAGATAGAGAAAGCATGAGCAGGGGGAGAGGGAGAAGCAGGCTCCCTGCTGAGCCAGGAGCCCGATGTAGGGCTCGATCCCAGGACCCTGGGACCATGACCTGAGCCGAAGGCAGATGCTTAACCATCTGAGCCACCCAGGCGCCCCTATATTTTCTATATTCCCTTCCAGGTGTTATGCTGCTTTCTTTTTGACTAACCTATTTTTTTTTTTTTTTTTACATATTTGTTTCAAAAGAAAACTTTATATGGTTACTTTACTATCTAGCAATAGTAAAATGGGGTGGGCCAGTTTATTCCACCTAAAACTGTTTTGTGAACCGCTGAGGGTATAGCTGGGACACACTAGAATAGTGGCAAATCTCAGGCTCTTGGAATTAGGAACCTCATGTCAAATCTCAGCTCTGCCACTTGTAAGTTTTCCGTTCTTGAGCAAGTTACTTAACCTTTGTGCCTCATTTTCTTCCTCCCTGGAACGAGATTTTTAAGTAGTATCCACTTCATTGGAGAGGGATGAGGGTTAGAGGATAATGAGTTTTGCACACAGTCGAGGCCCACGGTAAGCACTCGGTAAATGTTATCTATCGTTAATGTTTGCGTTTCTAAGTAATGCCGCAATCATCTAAAGCCTGTGGATTTCTCAGTCTGAACTCCTGGAAGTAAGGTACAGGGTGACTTTACGAAAGATATCCGTATGTTCGAGATTTTTTTACAAAGTATTTTACTTTTTTTTCTTTGCGTATACATTTCAGTCCTCTTTGCCCCTCACCTCTTCCTAGGAGTGTTTTGGGGCATGAAGAAGTAAGTAAATAAATGCCATCACCATGGTTTAATATCCTATCTTACACTCTAGCTTTTTGCTTTTTTAACTAGCATGATCAGCCCGGTAGTACCTTCATTTTACTTTCTGTTTGCCATTTTGTTTTGTTTTGTTTTGCCTGGTTCTCTCAGCGCCTCCTCCCTGCCCTTCCAAAAAGTCCTTCATCCCTTACATATTTGCCCTCTCAGAATCTGGTCCTGGAGGCATGGCCTATTCCCTTCTTGGGTGGTTTCGCTGCTTTCTCTTCCTGAGACTTGTGCTCCGTGGAACTCCCCACGGGCGAGCTCTAACTCGGAGAGGGCAGTGGGGTACATGAGTGAGATGTACCCTCCCTGGGGCTGCTCTGGCCCTGAGCACTCCCTGCTTATGACCCTCCATGAGACATCTTTGGTTTTGGGCCCAGTCACTCCTGATTAGGAACATTTCCATTTTGGGAGAGCGTCTGTGATTGACTAGGACACGTGTCCAGCACATCTGTAAAGGACATAATTGCTCCTTCTACAGTGAGGTGGCAGACAGTGCATCTTACAGACAACCATAGCTAAAGCCATGGTGTACTGTGCATCAGGCACTGGACTCAACACTGTGGTTTTTTTTTTTTTTTTTTTTTTTTTTGCACCTTTATGAGACATAGTTCATATGCCATAGATTTCACCCGTTTGAAGTGTCCAGGTCAGTGGGTTTTAGTATATGCATATAGTTCTGCAGCTATCATGACCTTCAGTGTTAGGTGATTACCCCAGAAAGAAACCCCACACCCATCAAGCAGTCCTTTCTCATTACTTCCCACTTCCAGCCCTAGGGAAACACTAATCTACTTCCTGTCCCTGGATTTGCCTGTCCTCCACCGTGGTCTTATTCTGTGACCAGTTTCTTTACTTACCATTATGTTTTCAAGATGCATCTGTGTTGTAGCATGTATCAGCACCCCATTCTTTTTTACTGTCAAATAATAGTCCATTGTATGGATCTACCACATTTTACATATCTCTTTCATCAGTTGGTGGACATGTGAGTCCTTTCCACTCTTTGGCTATTATGCATAACGTTCCTGTGAACGTTCTCGTCCATCTTTTTGTGTAGACACATGTTTTCATTTCTCTTGGGTGGATACTTCAGAGTGGAATGGCTGGGTCATGTGGTAACTCCGTGTTTAACATTCTGAGGACCTGCCAGACTGTTCTCCAAAGCGGCTGCACCATCTTACAGCCCCACCAGCAGTGTAGGAGGGTTCGAGTGTTTCCACATCCTTGCCAACACCTGCTCCCACCTGTCTTTTTCATGACGGCCATCCTATTAGGTGTGAAGTGGAATCCCGTGAGTTTTATAATTGTAGTTCTTACATTTAAGTTTATGGTCCATGTAAGGAAGGGGTCCAGTTTCAGTCTTCGGCACTTTGTTGAAAAGACTTTTCTTTCCCCCATTGAATTGTCTGGCCATTCTTCTCAAAATTCAATTGACCATAAATGCAGGGATTAATTTCTCTACTCATTCTGTTCCATTGATCTGTATGTTCATCCTCCGGCCTCGTGTTATATTGACTTACTACAGCTTTTTGGCTAAGTTTTGAACTGGGAGGTGTGAATCCTCCAACAGAGGTCTTTCTAGATTGTTTTGGCTACTCTGGGTTGTTTGCATTTCCATATGAATTTTAGGATCAGCTTGTCAACTTCTGCAAGAAAGGCAGCTGGTATAATTATAGGGATTATAAAGTACGTAAATCAATTTGGGGCTCCTGCCACCTTACCAGTATAAAATCTTTGAACGTGAGATATTGTCCATTTATGTCCGTTAAATCTTAATGGATTTCTTTCAAGCGTGTTTTAAATCATTTTCAAAGTATAAGTTATTTATTTAGAGGAGAGTGGCAGAAGGCTTTTTAAAGATTGATTTATTTACTTGAGAGAGAGAGTAGAACCGGGGGAGAGGCAGAAGGAGAGAGAATCTCAAGCAGACTCCACGCCGAGCATGGAGCCCGACGTGGGGCTCCATCCCATGACCCCGGGATCATGACCTGAGCCGAAATAGAGTTGGGTGCTCAACCAACCAAGCCACCCAGGTGCCCCAAGTTTTATATTTATTTTGATAATTTATTCCCTCATGTCTTATTCTTTTGGGTGGCATTGGAAGTGGAACTATTTTTTGATTGTTTGTTGCTGGTATATAGAAATACAACTCCTATTTTGTGCTGACCTTGTTTCCTGCAGCCTTGCTGACCTGTTTATTCATTCTAACAGTTATTTCGTGGATTCCTTAGAATTTTCTACGTACACTATCGCGTCGTCTGCAAATAGAGACAGTTGTGCTTCTTCCTTTGAAACTAATCTGAATGCCTTTTTTAAAATTTTTTTTCTGCCTGCGAGTCCTGGCCAGCCCTTCCAGCACAGTGTTAAATAGAAGCGAAGAGAACAGACACTCTGGTCTTATTTCTGATGTTAGAAGAAAGCATTCCGTCTTTCCTCATTAAGTATGATGCTAGTTGTGGGTTTTTCCTAAATATCCTTTATCAGTTTGAGGAAGTTCTTTTTAGTCCCAGTCTGCTGAGTGTTTTCATCGAGAAGGGGGGTCAGGTTGTGTCGAATGTTTTTTTTTTGGCACTTACCGAGATGGTCCGGTTGTTTTGTCCTGTCCTCCGTTCTGTTTTGGACGTTAAACCAACCTCATTCCTGGGATGAATCCCACTTGGTCACATTGTACAATCACCTTCATATGTTGATAGATATGGTTTGCTAGTATTTCATTAAAGAGTTTGCCTATCTTCCTAAGAGATACTGGTCCGTAGTTTTCTTCTGAGTCCTCGTCCAGGTTTCACGCCAGAGTAATTCTGCTAGCCTCATAGAGTGAGTTGGGAAGTGGTCCGTCCACCTCTGTGTTTTGGAAGAGTTTGTTGGTGTCAATTCTTTATGTATTTGGTAGAATTCACCAACAAAACCACCCGGGCTTTTCTTTCTGAGATGTTTTTAAGTACCAATTCAGTCTCTTGTGATAGGTCTCTTCATATTTCTGTTTCTTCTTGAGTTCATTTCAGTCATTTGTGTCTGTTCTAGGAATTTGGCCATTTTATATAAATTATCTAATTGGTTGGCTTACAGGTTGTTCATAGTTTCCCCTTCTAGTCCTTTCTGTCTCAAGATGAGTAGTAATGTCCCCTCTTTCATTCCTGATGTTAATCGTTTGAGTCTTCTTTATTTTTTTCCTCAGGCAGTCTAGCTAAACATTTGTCAATTTTATTGATATTTTCAAAGAAACAGTTTTTGGTTTTGTAGGTTTTCCTCTGTTGGCTTTTCTGCTATTTCATTAATTTCCCACTCTGTACATTATTATTTCCCTCCTTCTACTTGCTTTAGGGTTAGTTTGCTGTTCTGTTTCC